AGCTGGAGAAAGAGGCCAATGATAAAGTTTCTTCATTGGAAGACAAACTTTTAAAATCTTCAGCTGCTAACAGGGTAAGTTTTTAATAGGGCTGTAAAAAATGCTTGTGCTCATCTGAGTTTTGATTTGAATCATGCCCCTCTCCCCCACCCCACCCCCCTTAAAAAAACAAACAAAAAAATATCCTGGATAATTACAGCACCAAAGGACTAAAATAATTAATAGTAAAAAAAAAGGCGTTGTAAAAAAGTATAATTCAAATAACTTTTAAACTAGCCAAACTAGACCTTTCTTTTATCCTATCTTTTTGTCCCACATATGTTTTTTTGCTGTCTCATTATAGCTTTTTTTTTAAAATAGAATCTTTTTTTAATAAAGGGTATTAGGTTGGTAGTAGTAAATTAATACTACTTACTGTCTACACTAACTAAAGCTAAACCCTAGTCCTAACAACAGTCTAACATTGACACACTAAACTGATATTATAATGCTATTAGCAACCCATCTCCCATATTTTTGGAAGACTTGTTTCAGAAATGTGCAAATCATCCCTTATTAACATATACCAAAAAAAACAGGTATTCCCCGTTTCAACTACACTCTCATCAATCCTCATTAAAGGGCTATAAATCTTCTTCTTGCCTCAATGTAAATTAGGCTTAGAGTGGCCCATTGACTATGGTCTCAGTGGGGAAAGTTTGATTATTGATTTGCCTTGATTCCCACATACAGTTTCCTGCAAACAGTTTTTGTTTTCCCTGTGTATACCAGAACGTTTATTTATATTGGTTCAGTCATGAGTTGTAACTCTTTTTATTTTCTTCCTCTGGTGATTATTACATCATTAATCTTACAAACAGCATCACAATTGCTTGCTACATCTTTATTCTGCGTTGGACCACCCCTTCCTCACTGGCACACTGTTCAATTCGTTTGATTATTTTATGGTTTCAGATTTATAATCAGTTTGTCATTTTCTCACAATAAATAATTTCAGATGCAATACATTTTTAAACATTTGTGTTGCTATATTGTTCTAGATAGAAATGTACACACTGAATTTTTTTATCCTCACTTTTTTAATCCTCAATTTTTTAATCCGCATTTTTTACTTACTTTTATTGTATGCAAGAATATACATATGCTCTTATACTACTTTTGGCATTGTTTCTTTTCGTTACCTCTGGAAGGCTGGTTGGTTCATGTTACTAATGTGAATCCAGAGGGCCAACTCCCTTAAAAGCTGCGTGTGTGTGTGTGGGGGGGGGGGGTGAATATTTAGATAAACTTGGATACATTCTAATTACGGTAGTCGGCATAGGGTAGTGTGGGGTGCGTAAAATCAATTTTGGGGTCTCTAAATATATATATAGATCTAAAACTGCTCACTATTCTCGTTGTCGCAAATTTTACCTTAAGTTGTCTGATCATCCGTTTTTCATAACTGTTGAGTGGGTTCAACAGACAAGCTCGTGACCTGTAATCAGTTGGCGAACCTAGAGCTCACGTCTGTGCTCGACCTAGAGCTCATGTAGAGTGTGTACGAACTTAAAGCACATGTTGTGTGCTCAAATCTATATCACATGTTGTGTGCTCGACCTGGAGCTCATGTAGAGTGTGTACGAACTTAAAGCACATAATATAGTGTGCTCAAATCTATATCACATGTTGTGTGCTCGACCTGGAGCTCATGTAGAGTGTGTACGAACTTAAAGCACATGTTGTGTGCTCAAATCTATATCACATGTAGTGTGCTCGACCTGGAGCTCATGTAGAGTGTGTACGAACTTAAAGTTAAAGCACATGTAGTGTGCTCAAATCTATATCACATGTAGTGTGCTCGACCTGGAGCTCATGTAGAGTGTGTACGAACTTAAAGTTAAAGCACATGTAGTGTGCTCAAATCTATATCACATGTAGTGTGCTCGACCTGGAGCTCATGTAGAGTGTGTACGAACTTAAAGCACATGTTGTGTGCTCAAATCTATATCACATGTAGTGTGCTCGACTTGGAGCTCATGTAGAGTGTGTACGAACTTAAAGCACATGTTGTGTGCTCAAATCTATATCACATGTAGTGTGCTCGACCTAGAGCTCATGTAGAGTGTTTCGAACTTAAAGCACATGTTGTGTGCTCAAATCTATATCACATGTTGTGTGCTCGACCTGGAGCTCATGTAGAGTGTGTACGAACTTAAAGTTAAAGCACATGTAGTGTGCTCGACCTGGAGCTCATGTAGAGTGTGTACGAACTTAAAGCACATTTAGTGTGCTCAAATCTATATCACATGTTGTATGCTCGACCTGGAGCTCATGTAGAGTGTGTACGAACTTAAAGCACATAATATAGTGTGCTCAAATCTATATCACATGTAGTGTGCTCGACCTGGAGCTCATGTAGAGTGTGTACGAACTTAAAGTTAAAGCACATGTAGTGTGCTCAAATCTATATCACATGTAGTGTGCTCGACCTGGAGCTCATGTAGAGTGTGTACGAACTTAAAGTTAAAGCACATGTAGTGTGCTCAAATCTATATCACATGTAGTGTGCTCGACCTGGAGCTCATGTAGAGTGTGTACGAACTTAAAGCACATGTTGTGTGCTCAAATCTATATCACATGTAGTGTGCTCGACTTGGAGCTCATGTAGAGTGTGTACGAACTTAAAGCACATGTTGTGTGCTCAAATCTATATCACATGTAGTGTGCTCGACCTAGAGCTCATGTAGAGTGTGTTCGAACTTAAAGCACATGTTGTGTGCTCAAATCTATATCACATGTAGTGTGCTCGACCTGGAGCTCATGTAGAGTGTGTACGAACTTAAAGCACATGTTGTGTGCTCAAATCTATATCACATGTAGTGTGCTCGACCTAGAGCTCATGTAGAGTGTGTTCGAACTTAAAGCACATGTTGTGTGCTCAAATCTATATCACATGTTGTGTGCTCGACCTGGAGCTCATGTAGAGTGTGTACGAACTTAAAGCACATAATATAGTGTGCTCAAATCTATATCACATGTAGTGTGCTCGACCTGGAGCTCATGTAGAGTGTGTACGAACTTAAAGCACATTTAGTGTGCTCAAATCTATATCACATGTTGTGTGCTCGACCTAGAGCTGGTGTAGTGTTCTGACAGACAAAGCACACTTTCCAAACACTGGGCTGCTCAGTGAAATCAAACACCATGGTCGCCTGTTGGTTCCTACTCCTATTGTCCCACGACTCTTGTCCTTAAACCTTTAGTGGCAGATGGGTAATAAATGACTGGTGTAAATCTCTTCAAGCCCCGACGTCTTTCAGTAGTTACAGCTGTAAGCATGCTTAAATGACATCACGCACCTTGATGGAAAGGGGGGGGGAGATATGTGGTTGTCAATTTGTCAATTTAAGGAAGGTTTGGGACTTTTAATGATTGTGAAGGGTTGGGGAACAATGTGCTAAAATTGCCTTTGGTCATTTATGATTTTGTGAACAACTAATTACATAACCCGTTGTAATTGTAGTTACTATAGTTGTAACTATAGTTACATTGTGTAGCATTTCGGTTTTGTAAATATAAATAATATAACTTCACACAAATAACAGATGAACAAGTTGTTATTACCAGGCATCGTAATTATACTGAGCGGACTTAGACAACAAAAATGAAAATTACGACAGCCATAAACATCACATTTACAATAATGTGTTTTTTAAACATTTTTTTTTAAGAAGCTGGTCAAGATTCTTGTAGCTTGACCTCAACGGGGACGTTTAGTCTAAGTTATCCTGGGTTCAGAATGTGTAATTGTTTCAACATTTGATCAAAGTTTTTAAACTACCGTAATATTTAATGTTGTGCTGCATTGTTACAGCAAGTTATCGTTTATTTACGATCGTGGGCGCCCTCGGGATTTTCCCAGGGGAGGGTAGCCTGTCTGTCGCGCCAGAAAGACTTGGATAATAAAATGCCATTATAGACCGCAGTAGCTCCTAATCACATAGGTCTATCACTAATCTCACGTGTGCTCCACAAGGGCATTACATTCAGGTTTATTTGTTTTAATTGTTAGTTTTCTCATCTCATAGTTTGTTTCTTATTTACTCTGTTCGTGTGTGACTCCGAAATATAAAAGTTGTAACACGTAGCCTACATTGTAGGGGCCTACGTTTAAGATTCAGGGCGTTGTAAAAACACGCTAAAGATTAGTAAAAAATACATAACACGCAAAAATAAACCCTGAAGATTATAAATCAGAAAATTACGTTTTAAAAATACTTTAGCCAAACGCTATTTCAAATACATGTACGTGTAGTTCTGTGGACAAACGACAAAAAATATTTAAAGGAGTTAGGGTTATGACTCATTCTTACATTATCCCACATCATAACTCGACTGGCATTAGGGCCTAGCATGGGACCCACAAGGGAAGTGGACAAAAGGAAAGCATACGGAAAGTGCATGTACAACCATCAGTTTCAGAGTTTCCGTGTGCTGGTCCGACAAGCATGGGTCATGTCAACCTCTACCATACTGCTTCGTCCTAACATAGGAAAATCGTTAACCATCTTTTTATCGTCTACGTAATAGTAATTCATTCATTAGCCGTCGTCTGATCGTCCACGCCTGCTTCCTGTAACAACACATAGGAGGTCGACCTTTGGCGCCCCCTTGCAACTGCGTATCGACTTGATCGTTCTGTTGCGACCGTAATAGTTTCATTCTCTTCCCTAATTATGCATTGATTAGCGCGTTCACGGTGAAGTTCTGTGGGTGGGGGTACCATAGCTACAGGTTAAGGACCCTTGATCTTTAGTATACGTTCAATAATCTACCCCCGTCGATCGATATATTCCCCGATAATCAATGAGCCTTTCAAACCGAGACACAACTTGTGTGGCTATATGTTTACTTGAACAATAAGCGGGTGTAACGACGCGTTCACTTTTCACTGTCATGTTGGCGACCCCGGCCCGTCTGGACACGTCGTCCGTTTGAAAACTTTCCCGCCACAAGCGCGGCACCTGATCCTGTGCGATAAGATCCTTCCGTCGTGCGACTACCCTCGTCCATTGTACGGCCGTGTCGCTTATGGCAACACTGAAGCTATCAGCCATGACGTCCTGTATAGGCGCCTGTGCTGTAGGGTGTAAACCTAGCTTGAACCTAATCGATAAATCTTATGCTAATCGTGTTTTCATGAGGTGTACACGGCTGTTTCTTACCGCTGTTTATATGGCCAGTTGAACAAGGATTTGTCTTCCAGTGTGTGTTCGAACTTTAACTGGAGTTGTATATACTTGTATGCGGTATGAATAGTCGATTGTTTTAGGTATTGATCAGTGTCTTCATATTGTATGTAGTTTAGTGAATATCAGGTATACGTTATAATATTGTTTCAAGAGATAAGTTTAGATTTGTGTCTATAAGGAAAGTGGTTTGGTTTTGTTTTAACACGATCTGTACTACTTGTACTTTTACTGGTAGATGTGTTTACTGCCGAACTGTGCCACGATTTTACGGTCCATTGTTCGTGTGTTGGCCATAAAGATCGAATGACCCAGCGTTTCAATGTGGATTAGGTCCAGCAGTTTTGTTGTTGTTCAGACATGATGGAAGAGGTTCAGAGTTACTACGATAGCAGCAGAGCTCTACGGGATGTGTATCGGGGTCGGCCGCCCCCTCGGACCGAGGAGCGCCTGACGGACGCCCGTGAGTACACCGAGAGGAGGTCCCGCAGCCCGGGGGGCTCACCCAACAGGTCACTGGACTCTGAGCAGCGCGTGCCCAGTCCCAAGCGGGTCACTTGGAAGGACCCGGTGGAGCAGCAGAAGTCACAGAATAATGTAAGTCGGGGTATGGGGGGGGGGAGGTAGGCAAACTTCTGACCAAAGCAGGAGTGTTTTAATTAGTGACCGTTTGATTTTTGTTGCGTTAGTAGTAAACTTCTGACATCATGTGGAGGTGTTGCAATACGTGACCACCTGAATAAGGACACAATTTGATTTTTACTTTCTCGTATATACGAAGTATAGAGAAAGTCTTGTAATCGTGCAAAAAAAAAAAATCGAGATTTTTACAAATCTCGACGTTTTACACCTCACTGATACGGAAAAACATAATTTTGCAATCTTGTCCGTATGTCTGTGTGTCTGTCTGTCTGTCTATCTGTCTGTCTGTGTGTGTGTCCGTGTGTAAACACGATAACTTGAGTGCCGTTACAGCTAGGTTGATGAAATTTCATATATAAGTATTTTATCAAAATCGTAGATCCGTATCAACTTTTGAGCGATTTCCGATAACCGGAAGTGGCACTTTTCCTACTTTGAATTTTTCAAAAGCCTATAACTTGAGTACTATTTCAGATAGATAAATGAAATTTCACATGTAAGTAAAACGTCTAATTCTCTACCTTCTGTTAAATTTTGAGTAATTTACGTTGACCGGAAGTAGTAATTTACGCTACTTCCGATTTCTCAAAAAACTAATGTAAATTTTACATTTAAAAGTTTTCATTTCTGTCCCTTTCTCTTCTCTTATTATTAGTATTCCCTTTGGAAGTTCCGTAAACGCGTCTTGGTTTAGTCCAGTATGGTCATAATGCGGGGGAGGGGTTGACACCCATGCTAAAATGGTTGTTTTGTAGAGAATGCTTTTTCCAATTGAATTACCAATTAATTAGATGTAAATACATCGATAATTGCAGACCGACATTAATTTATCCATAAGATAGGAGTTGATGACACTAAGAAGAAAAATTGCTGAATTTAAATCTGTTACTTAAATATTTTACAAAAGGCCTTACACATAGGGGGTGAGACCTGTGTTGTTAGTTTGTGAGCGTGTAAAACTGTAAATCCATACACATAATTTGAAACTCGAAGTGTTAATTAAAACACGTTCTCTCTACATTCAACAGGAAAGCAACCAACGGTTTCGTGTTCTGATGCTAAGAGTTGTTATGTTATTTAGCACGTGTCTATCTCACATGAAAAGGTTATTGGCATGGAAAAAGGTCGTTGTTAGCGTGCATGTGTCTATCTCACGTGAAAAGGTCGTTATTAGTGTACATTTTTCTATCTCACGTGAAAAGGTCGTTATTAGTGTACATTTTTCTATCTCACGTGAAAAGGTCGTTATTAGCATGCACGTGTCTATCTCACGTGAAAAGATCGTTATTAGTGTACATTTTTCTATCTCACGTGAAAAGGTCGTTATTAGTGTACATTTTTCTATCTCACGTGAAAAGGTCGTTATTAGCTTGCATGTGTCTATCTCACGTGAAAATGTCGTTATTGGCATACATGTGTCTATCTCACATGAGAAAATCATTTTCTTAGCAGATATGTTTCTGTTCTATACCAAGTAGGTTATCTGATACGAGCCGGCCCGCGGCATAACATACGCCGCTATTTAGTTGTTTCTAATTTTCAATAATTCATAATTTGTGAATTCGACAGTACCAACGCTGACACTGAAAATATTTCTTTAAAACACTATAAGTAGCTCGTTAAGGACCATAACCCCCCCCCTTCCTCCCCCCCCCCCTATGTTTAAAATCGTTGGCTCTGCTTGTAAACATTTAGAGTGAACACAGCTCACTAAAACCATGTAGGGGTGGGGAGGTAGGGAGAGCGTTTGCAGCTTGTTTTCTAACGGCTCGAAGAGGAGAATTATATATATAGATAGATACTTTTCTAGTTTGATGATTGCATAACATAGCTTTATGCTCTAAACTTTTAAATTTTTGTATGTAGTAAACTTTCACTTATTGTCGTTATTTGAATTGTTATTGTAAACAGCAACATTATTATATGTTGTAAAGTGAATCTAGTTATGTTGTTAACTTTTGAAGCATTTTATGTTGTAAACTGCAAAACTAATATATCTTCCGAGCGGTTGAATTACTTTATTTTTTAAAACAGCTGGATGGTTTATACCTACTCTTACAATACTCTGTTTTTGCTTCATTGTTGCCAATGTTCTTGTTATATTTGTCCGGGCGGTATTTCTGATATTTTTCTTTCTCTTTCACAATCACTGTGTTCATGCACAAACAAGTTAACACAAAAAAAACCCTTAAATAATACATTCCGATTTTCTGTTAATTTAGAGGTAACCGTAGTGTGTATCTTAATAACAGAGCGGTTGTATCTTAATCTCCTACATCAAAGGAGAGTTGAAAGGAAAGGTTTAAGTATAGCATTGATTCCCACCACCCTTTGTTTTATTATTTCCAACTACTCCTTTACTTTGTTTCAAAATAATTACTTTAAATCTTTAAATAAGTACTTTTGTGTCAGGGGAGCTAATTCAGCTCTATTATATTAGCACCTCGTCGCCTTATGCCTCGCTGAGACACTGTTGTATTCATAACGTGTCAACCATATTCCATTTTTATCACATTGCAAAGTCTACAAAAAGTCTGTTGTTAATTAGGCCCTAAGTTTAAAAAAAAAAACACAGACAAGAAAGTGGGTCTACGGGGAGAAACTCTAACAATTTTCTAACAGCTATGTCTATGTAGGTCCACTGATATCCTGTGTTATAAGTTGTTTTGTTGTCAAGCATACTCATAATTTGGTCACATAATTTTATGATTATTGTCGAGTCATCAAAACGTTCGTAGAGCAAACACTACAGTTTGTAGATAACTTTAGACTTACCACTGTACTCACATATATCTGCTACTTCAGCGTATAATTTCCTCATATGATTGATATATCCAGTCTGACACACCCTCCGACACTCCTTACCTTTGATCTCACTTCCTATGACTTTACTTTCCTTGTAAGCAATTATTTTCTACGTACTTATGCGTTTCCCGATAATTAGATAATAAACACTACTATCACAGTAGTACCCCTCTTCACATTCCCTCTCTTTCCCCTCACTCTCTCTATAAATAAATATATCTTTATATATATATATATATATATATATATATATATATATATATATATATATATATATATATATATACATACATACATACATACATACATACATACATACATACATACATACATACATACATACATATATATATATATATATATATATATATATATATATATATATATATATATATATATATATATATATATATATATATATATGTGTGTGTGTGTGTGCGCGCGTGTGTATTACATTTCCATTTCCTCGTGAGATATGAATAATCCGACCACCCCAACTACTAACCCCCCCCCCCTCTTCCCCCGCCCCCTACACTCACAGAGCTCTGACTGATAGCAGATAGTGTTTGTAATTTATGACTTAAATGTCGTGCCACTTCTAGTCATAATAGATTAGCATGTGTTTTATAAGCCCGCGATCCACGCTGGAGATCAATGGCAGTGATTTATACCACAGGTACCGTATTTACAGAAATGTTTGCCGGGAAAGACTGCGGTGGAATTGTTAGCCGGTAATTGTTGAAGAATTGTCTGGATGTATTTTTATCACCAAAAATAACACTTTGTAATTACACTGCTGTTTTTTTTTATTTATGGTCCTTTTAAAGATATCGACTATCCAGTGTCGACGCCAGGTTATTTAGCGCCCTAGGAAAAACTTATTAAAACGCCCCTTCCACACAAATTAGTAACTAAAACATACGTATGAGAATACAATTAAAAGTGACATATTAATAATGAATTCATCATCAATTGCATACACGTTATAAGTAGACATCAAAATCAAATTTTACTTGCCGCCTTCGTCGCAAAAGTTTGTACTAATTCCTTCAATTCCAGTTTGCAAGCGTAATTACATTCTATTGAAATTGTTGCTAAGTCCTCAAGTCTATTTTGTACTTTACGACATAGCCCGCCCCCCCCCCTCCACCTTAGAAAATTTCAAGTGCCCCCCCCCCCCCTCCCTCCCGGAAGAAATAAGTCTGGGAAAAACATTAAAAAACCCCATAGTTTTTGTGGTATTGGGCTCTCTACAGACCTCCCAAGCTTGACTGTCTTTAGTTATAATCGTAAAATGTCTATATTGTGTGATTATGTAATGATTTTTTGTTTGTTTTTGAAAAATAAAAGTTTACAAATGTTATAGGTTCCAGCCTACAATTGTTATATATGAACTCCATTAGGAGAGGGTGAAAAATGTGAACAAGACACTTGATAAATTAGATGTTGTATTTGTATGTCTACTAACATTAAGTATTGCAATATACAACGGCTGCTGATGTATTTGTTTTTCAACTTGATAATGCACGAAAACCTTCAAACTATTTTGTTTAGAACTTCTGCTCTATATAATTTTTACAATAGCATATAATAACTTAAAGTTGTATTTATAAGTAAGCGGTCAACCTAAGGTGCAAAAATTTGATATTAATGTAAACTTAAGCAACGAATTATCTCCCATTTTGAAATCTAAACACCAAAATTTCATTCAAGGGAAATAACTTTCACAAGAATAGCTAATTTAATCAAGTGTACTAAGACATGCTTGAAAAGCACAATAAAACGCTTTAAATTTCATTACGTAATAATTATAACAATTTTTTTATATTACCTATGTAATTGTATCAACAGCATATATTTTACGAATTGACTACTTAACTGTAAGTTTTGTTTGAAAGTCTAAACACGGTAGCTTTATTATAACATACTTCTAGTCAATTTTGAAGACATTCATTTATATGCCGTTTCTGCAAAATGTTATATTTTATATTCTTCGAAAGTACAAAATGTAATGAATATTTGTAAAATATCTGTTTCTTACTATTCTAAGTAACTATGTACCACAGACAATGGCTTAGAAACAAATGTTTGATGTTAATTGATTTAGTTGAAAATAAAAGTATTTAAAAAAAATAATTTTTGATTTAAAA